GTACGAGATTGCCTGAGTCCTGTTGAGTTTCCTCACTAAGGCTCCTCCTGTGCCCTGGTCTCTGCCTGGGGAGAGGCTTGGTTCTCAACCTTGGCTGTATGCTGGAATCATCTGGAAAGTTTTTAAAAATCTTGATACTCTGGGAGCTCCTGGGTGGCTCAGTTGGTTAAGCGTCTGACTCTTGATTTTGGCTCTGGTTGTGATCTCAGAGTCATGGGATCAAGCCCCGTGTTGGCCTCCATGCTGGGGTGGGGGGGTCTGCTTAGGATTCTCTCTCTCTCTCTCCCTCTTTCTCTCTCCCCGCCATTCAAAACAATATTGATAACTCTGGTCTCCACCCAGCAACCCCACCAAAAATTTCTGGTTTAATTGGTTTAGGGTGCAGCCTGGGCATTAGGATTTTTTAAACTTCTCAGGGGTTTCTAACACACAGCGAAGTTTAAGAATCAATTGGAATTAGGAGACTTGATTTAAATGTAGCCACTCATTAGCTATGCGGCCTTGAGCAAAAGAAATATTCATTTATCCACCAGGTGCTCCCTGACAGCTTGCTGTATGCAAGACAGCACTAGAAGCCTAATCTCTCTTGCCTCTGAGATAAGGAAATTGGGCTCAACAATTTGCTCATTCATTCAGCAAATCAGTATTGAGGGCCTGCTACCTTCCAGGCCCTGGCGAGGCACAACATGTGCAGCAGTAAATCAGAGGGAGAAGGCCCTGCCCTCATGGAGCTGACAGTTCAGATGGGGGAGGCACAACCATATACAAGTAGTGAAAAGCAAAGACTAGGGATGCCTGTCTGGCTTTGCGGGTAAAGCATATAACTCTCGATCCTGAAGTCATGAGTTTGAGCCCCACGTTGGGTGTGGAGCCTACTTAATGAAAAAAAATAAATAAAACATTTTTTTTAAAAAGTGAAGAGTGATGTCATATAAAGGACGGGATGGATGATGAGAGGGAGGATGATGGGACGGGCAGCCAGTGTGGAGGAAGCAGCGGGCCTGGTGGAGAAGGGGGGGTGGAGGGAGGCCCATGGATTCAAGAAAACAGTCAAGGAGATCACATCTCAAAGACTTGTTGTGGATTTGATAAAGGGAGAATGAAGAAGGCCAATTCGTAGCTGGCAGGATTGATGAGTCATGCACTGGAGCAAAAAAATGCGTGAAAAGAACCCCAGCAACCCCCCCCCCAGGGATTATCAGGGTCTAGAGCAAAGGTATAGGAAGCTGGGGCAAGGAACCAAGTCCCTCCCCGGACAGAGCCCAGGGGACAGGAGGAACCTTAGCCAAGAAATGCTCTCACAGGTGGTTATTTCAACACCTGAACTGGGTCTTTGTCTAGCCAAAGGGGGAGCCACTAAAGAGCCTGTTCCCAGAGGCCCGAAGCTGAACAACTTAAAAGGGAAAACTGGACAGAAGAACCCATCGCAATTGTAAACAACATGAGGTACCATGTGCCCTGCGGGAGGGGTCTTGCATATTGTGGAGGCACTTGAGAAAACTGTTCTCTTCCCCCTTCTGGGTGTAGACTGTGTTGGCTCTGAGAATTCATATCCGTCCTTGGGAGATCCCTGTAAGTGTGTGTTGGGGGAGAAAGAGAGAGAGAGAGGCTGAGAGACAGAGAGATCCATAGCTACCGTTGGACAATCTGGCAACATCAACGGGCAGGTCTGGAGAGACCGTGGGCAGGACAGCAGCCCTGGGAGGCTGCAGAGCTACGTGTTGACTAATGTGCGCTGGGGGAAAGGTCCTGCTGGAGGAAAGGGTGTACTGTGGGGTAAGAACAGCTCTAGTGCGTGACCGTTTCAATGGGAGATGCAGAGGTGGAAGGAGGAGGAGACTCCGCAGAGAGGAGAAGACTTGAGGGCAGGGGCCAAGCACAGGAACTGGAGTGTGCCTCTAAGAGCCCGGCTGTGACCGCCTAAACTCCTCAGGGTCCTGAGGTTTCACAGTCTTTTCTTCACATGTGGTTTTCCCCCCTTTGATGCTCCTCAAACTTTAGCACGGGCTGTCAGACCCACATAGCTGTCTGGTTGTGTTAGGGAGGAAAGTGAGAGCGGGGACTCCCAATTATCCTGGAAAGTTCTCCGAGATCTTTCCAGGGGGAACAGCAACATACAGAGGGGAAGGTCCCCGCCACAGAGTTCCCGACTTCCACCCACAGGGACGTTTGTAGCGCCCCCTGGTGGAGTCGGGAGTAACACACGACGGCGGAGAAGCTGAGTGACGCAGGTGGACGACTTGAGAACGGACTGGGGGTCCAATCTGTCCCTTTCCCAGATACCGTGGGGAAGCAACCCTTAAGAGCAAGATGGAAACTTCCATTTGATTTACAGAGGCAAAACACCAGGCGCGGTGCCTGGTTCAGAGTTGGCACTCAGTAATTGGCAGCCATTACCGTGATTATGATGATTATGATTATTGAGATTCAGTTGCTATAGATATCCTGTGGCCTTAAATGATCTGAGGATGGTTCACGGAGTAAGAAGCCCCACGGCCTCAGCACAAGTTGACTATAATGCGGAGGGCTTTGAGGGCATAGTGGGCGATCCAGTCCCGAATGCATCCTCGACCTTTCTTCCCGGCAACTATACGTTTCTCAGCTGATGTTCATGGTCATCACACTCAGCCCGGAAGCCCCAGGATCTCTCCGGGCTGTGCTTCTTGCCTCCAAAAAGTTCATCCCTTTCACTGTAACCCCTTTCCTGCCGTTTCCCAAAGGGTCAGCCGTTGTTTTGAACCGCCCACGATGAGTCACGCTAGAGGCCTAGGGAGGCCAGAAGACGCCACAAGAGGAGAGAGAAAAATCGGAGCAGAGGAGAGGGAAAGATAGGCCAGTCAGGGCCCCAACAGGAAACAGATGGCACATTCCAATGAGGAGGACTTCAAGAAGGTTCTTTCATAAAGGGACTCATTACACAACGGCAGTGGATGGGAACATGCCGGACCTCAGGGTCAGCAGAGGCAGAGCAGGCCTGCCTTCAGGGGTGACGGGAAAGAGAGGTGATCAGAAAGAGAGAGTCATGTAGGCTTCCTTGAAAGAAGCAATGACCTTAGGTCCCCAAAGGGGGAACTGAGCAGAGTAAAGACCCGGAACTCACTGGCCTCCAAGCCTCTGAGCTATCTCCAGAACTCTGCACAGTTTGGACCCAACTGGAAACCTGTCCGTAAGGGAACCCTGTTGACAAAACCCAAACAGATCATGCACCCAGGCCCCAGAACAGGCTGGAGAATGACGGAGAAGGGCCAATAGAAGATACCTGGAACAGCAGACAGACATCTACGGATCAGTACTGGTGTTTTTGTGTTTGTTTGTTTGTTTTTTTTTCCAAAATATAAGACCGCAGGCCCATCAGCAGTGGGATAGGCGGAGCATCATTATCCTGGAAATGACGGATGGTTTCTATTTACCCACCAAACTTTCTCTTTGCTCTTGGAGCAAAAGACAAGCCTCCGTTTGGAAACTCCCAGTCGTGCCTGGGAGTAGGAGTAGGAAGAGAAAATCCCAGCAAAGCGATTGCTTTCCCTTGCAGCTACTGACAGGACGGCAGGGCACTAGAGAAGGCGTCATGAGGGGACAGGAACAGGTGCCAGGGGTAGGAGTGGGGGAGAACAGAAGGGCTCAGAAAGGAAACCAAACATTTGGCAGAGAACAGCACACAGTAGCAAGTGACTATACCAAGTGTAGTTGGGGTTCCTTTATAAAGAGCTCTGGCCCAGGAAGCCGGAGCAAGGCTGAGCGTGGGTCACGATGCCCAGGCGACACATCCCATTTCTCATGGTCCCACATTCTATTTCCTTCTCGTTTCACCCAACGTCCTCCTGGAAGTCCTACAGACCTTCCCCTAGGACCATATGCACGAGTGTTTTTGCTTGTCATGAAATGATCAGCATTCAATGAAATGCTTCTATTTTGGGGGCATTACCATCTCTAAAACAAGACACAGAAAAGCAGAGGGAGGCAGCTAGGGGCTGCATTTAATCTTCTGTAATATCGCAGTGGGAAGGAAACTGGGGAATGAAAACATAGTCATTTAGAAAATGGTTGATGAGTCACTGATTGGCATCGGGTAGAGAAAAGGAGAAGTCATTACACATTCAGAATATGCCTGGTCTTTAAAAATAGGCTCCTCACTCTGCTCGAGGGGGCGTCTGGGCTTTAGAGGAGGGAGGGTGGCCGAGGGCATGGGGCCGAGGGCCGGGGACCGGGACAGAAACTGCCCACGGCAGGCAGCGCCCTCCTGTTGGGCCAAGTTCTCCTCAGCCCTTGAAAAGCCTCCAGCTTTAAGACACAGAAAGACACCGTCTCACCTCCTTGTTCCTCCTCTATCTCTTTCTTGAGGCCTTAATAACACTTTTGGGGAAACTTCAGCTTCAGGGGAACCAGGCCAAGTAGAAGAGACAGCACTTCGTGCGACCATAATTTTGCCATCGGCCGCAGAGCTCCTGGCCCAGGACAACCCAGCTCTTTTTGGTCTCCCTGCTTTTGACCTCCTTGTTGTTTATTCGTTGTTCTACATTTTAGTTGGTGGCAGTGGGGGGGATTAGAATCTGTCAGATTAGAACATGGTGTAATGTTTGCTGGAGGCGGGAAAGTCAAGTCTCTGGTAAGCAGAGGTTCAGAGACAGCCTGGGAACGTTCTTGCTGCCGGTGTTCTAGAAAAACAAAAGAAAACAAAATAGAAACGCCGCCTGTTAAGGGCTTTACCTTTGCCGGCTAGTTCTTGGGCCTTGGCGTGCAGATCTGGGCCACGGGCGAGGCGCTGAGCCAGAAAGAGCTTGACTGCTTTAGAGTGAGAAGGGCAGAGAAAAGAATAGATCTAGAAGGTAAAGGATGGCAAAGGCCAGGTCAGGCTGAGTTGGAGAGAAAGCCTGAGGACTTTTCGAGAGCCAGTGGGAAGAAGAGGGGCAACTGCTGGGTTGGGATGAATTCAGGCTTTGAGGGGAGAGGAGGCGCAGAGAGGAACTCGGTCGTGTGTTGTGAATGGGATGGCTTCTTTACATGTTGTCAATTCCACAGGCAAAATCGGAATCGTTTTTCAATTGTTTTGAATTGTTGGACTGGCGTTTCTTCTGAATGCAGACGCTGAGGCAGACCACAGGGTGGCCCGGATTTACGCTGGTTACGAGCATGAAGTCCATCCCAACCATGCGTGTGTCCCCCTCCCCCAACACACGACTGTCACAACATATCCGCAACTTTCTTAATGTTATATTTTGCCTTGTCACTTGTTTAGTGCGTTGTCTTTGGTCATACTGGGATAAATTCACCCACCCTAAATAGAGACAAAAGAGAAAATTCTGACCCTGGGTCTAGTTTCAGAAAAGTAGACAGATCTGCAGGACCCTGATTTATCTCTTGGAATTCTGTGCTGAACACGCAATTGGGGATATCCAGAATCTTCCCACTTTCAGTCTCTCTCTTCTTCGAGAAACTGCTAAGGTGCTGGAGATAAAAGAGAGACTCAGTGGCCTGTGGACTGTTGAGGAATGTTCCCATTTCGCTGAGAGCCGGCAGCCACAGCTCCTTCTCATACAACGTTGTTTTAAACATCACCGTATGCACAACATACACTTTCACTCTTACACATGTATTCTTTATCAGCCTTAATCTTTTGCATGTTCACTTGACACACTCGTTCTTGTCTGACTCTCAGGCACGCACTCACCTTTAGTCAAACTGAGATACAACTTCTCTATAGAAAAAAAAAAGGTAAAGAAATATACTTTTAAAATTATGCATCATGATCCAGCAGGATTTATTCCAGGATCATAAGGGTCTCAACACATGTCTAAGAGGCATTTGATAATGTATAAGGCCCATTCCTGGTAGGAATTCTTAGTTAAGGGGCGCCTGGGTGGCTCAGTGGGTTAAGCCTCTGCCTTCAGCTCAGGTCATGGTCCCAGGGTCCTGGGATCGAGCCCCGCATTGTGCTCTCTGCTCAGCGGGGAGCCTGCTTCCTCCTCTCTCTGCCTGCCTCTCTGCCTACTTGTGATCTCTCTTTCTGTCAAATAAATAACTAAAATCTTAAAAAAATAAAAATAAAAGAATTCTTAGTTAACTAAGAGTATAAGGGCACTTCCTTAACAAGACAAAGAGTATCTCCCATTAACCAAGAGTCACCTTCAGGTTTAATGTTACCAAACAAACAACAGAAGAGCTCGTAGCATTTCCAATAAAGTAAAAGAGAAACAGAATTCCTGATCTCACCGCTGTGGTTCCATTCTTTGTTGTTGTTGTTGTTCCATTCTTTGTTGTTGTTGTTGTCCCATTGTTGTTTAACACTGCCCCATAGGTTCTAGACACTATGATAAGATGTTAAATAGAGACAAGAGGAAAAACTTACCAGTGGTCCCAGATGATTTACTTGTTTGCCTGGAGAAACCAAAAGAATCTAATGAAAAACCAATGGGCCAAATAATCAGATTCATTAAGGTGGGCCAATTATAAAACGAACACACAAAACTCACTTGTATCATCTTTTCTAGAAATTAGCACTCCAGTTAGAAAATATCATGGGAAAGGATCGTATTTTTAATAGTAACATGTTTTGTTCATCTGTGACTCCCTGCAACAGAGACAAGTACTTTATTGAGTATTTACTATGTTCCAAGAGCTAAGCTGAGACCCAACTTTCCCAAGTGTATATTGTAAAGAAAAAAATCAGCCCTTACAACTCATGATTTCATGATATCCCTGCTTAGGATGAGACTTAAGAAGTCTCTTTCTTAAAGTAAATATGTTTCAGCTCCTGAAAGTGGGGGGCAGGGGGAAGCTCACACAGAGGGAGTGGGGTGGGGCACAGGCTAGTGGAGACTGTGTGCGTGATTGGTTCCCTTTGCCCATGTCCCCACCCAGCCACTCTCTCTGTTCCCCCTCCCCGGGAGGCTGGTCTTCATGGGTCACATCGTGGGCTCCCTTGCTTCTGGCTGAGCACAACCAATGGGGATCCCCAGCAGGAGATGGGGGCGGGAGGAGAGTGAAGCTGGGGCGCTTGCTTGGTCTTCTGCACGGGTGCAGGGCCAAGGTCTTGCTGCCTTCTCTAAACACTTCCCCAGTTGGGCCCACGCTCCCTTCTTTTGTCCCCTTCAGGCCTGGCATGATAACAAGCTCCCCAGGATGGATGGATGGATCCCTGGCCTTGGGGCTCGCATCACCCCTCAACTGCTTCCCTTGAGCCTTCCTCACACTTTTGTAACAGATCCCTTTACTAAACTTTCCTCACAATGACCCTGACTGGTAAGTGGAGAGGTGAATGGCTCAAGTTTTTGGGGGGCCGCCCTGTGCTATTCGGTCATCAGGACAACCTTTTCAGATGAGAATCGTCAGCCGCACTTGATGTGGGAGAAAAGCGCCGCTGAGAGGGAGATAGTAGCTAGGCCAGCATCCCCTGCTGTCCAATGGCGGCCCGGCTGCTCCAACACTTGGCCATGCCTCTCCTGTGAGTCAGAGGTGGTGTCCCCCTTGCTGCTGAACCTCCACCTCTGTGTAATTCCCCCCAAGGAAAATACAATCAGAACTCTGGCCCACTGTGATCTAACCCCTCGGGCTGCTTTTCTTCAGGCCAAATGTTCCAGAAGGCCCTGTTCTCGCATGTCAAAGCTCTTCAACCGGCTCCCTTGTGGCTGGTTTGGGGACTCAGGGAAGAAAGGGAACCTGCTATTGATCTTTAGGCTGCCACAGAATTGCCCCTGCTCTAGCTGGCTGGGTCCCACAGCCCCCCAGCAATGGCAGACTCCTGAGGTGATTCCAGTGCTTCTGAACCGACCCGAGTCTGCCTAAGATTTTAGCCAACTAATGATGACTCATGCTGTTCTCTGGCCTTCCTCGGGTTTTAAACATTTCATAAATGACACTACCCTTTATAAAATTGTTTTTCTGAGGGAGGACAAGGACTTACCTTTTATTCTATGTTGATGGAGGAGATAATAAATTTTAAATAATTTGCTGAAGCTCATTTAACTTTTTACTGAGGAAAATCTGAGTGATCTTAATGATTTTCTTAGTGTTTCTTTTTTTGCTTTCTTTCTGAGAGGACAACTGTTCTTACACACTCTGATATCTAATTGTTTTTTTTTTTTAATAAAAACGATCTTGTCAGCATTTAATAGCAGTGAAATAAATTCAAATCCTCAGATGGTCCTTGGAAGGAAGTCTAGGCTTGTGGGTATGAGCTGGAACTCTGGCATTAGCAGCCCTGAGACTGACTGTGTTATCTTAGGCAAGTGTCCTAACCTTTCTGTGCCACAGGTTCCTCGAGTATAAAATAAGACTAATGGTGGGTACTTATTTCACAGGGTTAATGGGAGGAGTAAAGGAGCTGATTCATGTCAAACTTTAAACATGGTACTTAACACATAGTAAACACTCAATAATTGCCAATTACTATTATTACTATGTAGAAGCTTCTATGACAGGCACTGAGGAGGGTCAAAAAGGAAAGAATCTCTGCATGCAAGTGGATTATAATTTTATAGAGAAACATGAGGGGGGACCGAGGCCCCGGAAGAGTGGACAGGAACTGGACGGATAGGAGGAGATGGGGCAGAAGACAGGAGGCAGGTGTGTGAGCATCTGGGCATGAAAGAAACAGAAGCCCAAAATGCAAGGAGACCAAGAAGGGAGGCAGAACCCCGGGCGTCCTACCCCTGACTTTCTGGTCATTGGGCTGGCTTCAGTTTCTTCATTTAGGAATGGGGGGCACCAGACCAGATCATCGCCAAGATCCTTTCCATACATTCCACTGTGAGATACACACCTTAGGATCAAGGAATTCACCATCTAGCCAAACTCACAAGGGTTTGTTTTCCCTTTCATATCTTCCCTTCTCCTCTCTTTCTTATCCTCTGGCTCTTCTTTCTCTCTGCCTGATCTTCCATATAGCTCAACATATGTCAGGCTGTCAACATACGGCATATTTTGCAAACAGATAAACAGTGGCACATATGCAACCATATATTCCTGGCATGCAGATGCCCCAGCTTGGCTTCATCAGCCTCAGCAGAAAGCATTTGGTAAGTCTCTCTCGGAAATTCCAGAATGCATGAGCCTCCCATGGAGCCTCTGACAAGCGGTTAAAATAAGTCATTCCATGTCTTCTCTGGTGCAAAAGCCAGAACACTGGCTCCCCGCCCTTTCGGTTCCAAGGCATTTAATACCAAAGGCTCTGCCCCTTCACTCAACTATCTGGGATGTTCTGACCAGGGGTCAAACTGACCATTAAAAGTTCTTTTGTTTTTCCAGTGGGCAGTGACTCATCGTGTCCTCCGCACCAGACAAGCGGCCCTGCTCGGACCTGGAAAGGCTGTACTCTGAGACCCCTGGGTCTATTTTGTCCACTCGAAAATAAAAATAAGCTCGTGTAGCTGACTCTGTAAAGTCCACCCCTGTCCTCCAACAGGCCCCATTTGTCCCTGCATGCCCAAAGTAGTAGGCCCAAAGCGCTCCTGTACGTGCTCTCCCCTGACATCCCTCAACCAAGGGCTGCTGATAAAGGGTGGATAAATGCCCCGGCTCTCTCACCCTCCGGCGGGATATTTCTGAAGCCGTGGATCCCACAGTTGTGTCTGAGAAACTGGCCTGAGAGCATATCTTCCCTAGCTTCCTCGCTTTTCCTCTCTCGTGCCCACCACCTGGGTTTCTGGGAGTTTCTCCATTAACAAAGTGCTTGCTCTTGAACCCTTGGGTCAGCGCCTTCTTCGGAGAGGACCCCAATTAAGGCAATCTGTAATTCAAGTTTAGAAAAAAGGTGATCAAGGATAACACAGGATCTCTTCAACCTCAGACTTTGCACTGGGGCCCCCAAGGCAATCTGCAGTTTAAAAAAAATGCTCTGAAATGTCAACAAAAGCAACTGTGGATACCAAGCTTTTGGCAATACTCTGCCCCAATTCTACCTGGTCACTGGGTCTGGTCTGAAGTTGTCCCCGCATCAGAGTGGGATCGTCCTTCTCTGGCCACGTGAAAATGAGAGATGGTAGAACAAGCGAGAAAGTTAGATTCTGCCACGTTTTCCACTCCCACGTGGCTTCTTGCCTCCTCCCCCTTGAGATCAAATTTTGTTCCTTTTCCTTGTAAAGATTAAAATGGACCCGAACAATAAGGTAAAGGAAAACAGCAATCAAGGAAGAAAGTGAACATGACTGGTTGGTTGTTGTAATACTCACTGGAAGCTCCGTGTGTACTGAATCTGAGTTAACATTTAACCACTAAAAACTCAGGAGTCAAAGGTCATTTAACGACGGTACCTCCAGACAGAAAGTTTAAAAAGTATCACCATACTATTGTCCTTTAACAAGCTACTGCAATGTTTTCAGGGAAATTCCACAGGCAAAATTTGATTTGTTATGAGCTGAATCTGGAGAGAAAGAAATCAAGAGTTTGAGATGTGAGTGAGGCCCATTACATCTCAAACCTTGATCCATTCAATAAGCTCTAGGTCAATGCTGTCCAACAGAACTTTCTGTGATGATGGAATGTTCTAGAGCTATACCATCCAATACAGTAGCCACTACCCACATATGGCTATTGAGTACTCAAAATGTGGATATTGTGTTCAATTTATATTATGGTTATTTAAATAATTCATTTACTGCATTATTATTTATATTGTACAATAGAGTTTTATCTGGTATTAGAATTATAATAATGGCTATTCCAGTTCCAGGTGTTTCCCCCCATCCCCTTCTCTTTCCTCTCCTCAGTGAAGCCCTGGCTTGAGCTCATTTTTCTGTTTTAGACCCAAGTGCTTTCTTCGGGATTGGTTTTCTGTTCTTGCCCTCCAGATCTGCTCATTATCCACCACCTCCCAGACTTCGGGGACTATCGGTGGGCTTGCCCTCACGAGGCAAGTGTGACAGAGTTGTCCATCTCCAGCGTAAGCTCCTCTTTGACCTCATTCTACTGACTCAAGCTGGGGGCAGAAACACCAAGGCAAATAGGGTGACTTGTTTCAAATCTTTTGTCGCCTACATCCTAACTCCTTCCCTTCATATATAGGCTTGCTCTGAATTCATGGAGAGAACCTGACATATTATGCCTTGTGGAACAAGAAGACAGACGCTGGCATATGTCTGCACGTCCCACCTTAGAGCCCTTCATCACCTTCACACACACACCTGTCACGGCCCTCACCACACCCGGCTGGTACCTCTAGCTCTTTGTTGTAGGACAATCCACAGGCAGCCAGAACCTACTTTGTCCGTGCAAGGACATCCAGTATTGCCTAGAGATCTATGCTACACTGTCTCGATCCACTGATTATCATGGGGGAGGGCGGTTCTACAAATACTGTAGCTCCCTTTTCCCCTGATGAAGGCTTACACTGTCCCCAGAGCAGGACTGAGCCCAAGCCACTCTCTTGGGGGCTTGGCATGCTACATCTCTCTCCTCGGTTCTTCCCTTTCCTGGTGCATTTCCTTACTGGTTTTTATGAACCCTCATCTCAGAATCTACTATCAGGAATACAACCTGAAACAAAACTTCTTTAAATGAAAAACACTAAACCCTAAAATTCACTGAAGTTTTTTGTTTTGCTTTGCTGGCGATCTCGTTTAAAAAAAAAAAAAAAGCTTTTTGGGGGGGATGGGTGAAACAGGTGACAGGTAGGAAGGAACGCACTTGTGACAAGCACCGGGTGACAGATGGAAGTGCTTGATCGCTACATTGCACACCTGAAACTAATATTACACTCTATGTTAACCAACTGGAATTAAAATGAAAACTTAAAAAAAAAAAGCTTGTTTTTAGTGGGGCCAAGAGGTAGCAATGTTTTTCAGCTGAACCTTTAAAAAGTATTTGGAGCCTAGCAGAACAGATCGGTGTTACCTTAAAGTCTTGACAAAGTTATCTGCCCAACAGATAGGTTTGTAAAGGTCCTCAATCCAAACATTTCAATCAGTAGCTCAGTGTCAGACCCTCAAAATATGAAAGGAAAGAGAAAGACGCTTTTAGATTCAACAGATATTTGTTGCGGGTACCCCAAGCCCCTCTCAAAGTTACACGGTTCCAGAGAAGGACTCTGTTAATCACGCTGCTACTTTGCCAAACATACTCAGCAACACAGACTTACTTAGTAAAGATGAAATTAGGCTCTTCAAAATCTTTTTTAAAAAATTCACCAAAGGGCTATTTTATGACCTAGTTTCTTTATTAAGTAATAATGTAAGGAACGTCTTGTTTTCAGTCCCCAGCAGCTGCCAAAACCTGAATGTATCAAATCCAACAGATCACAGCCATCCCAGAGTTCTATTAATAGCAAGATAATTTTCAAATCCACTGTACCGAGTAGCATTTTGTTTTTTGGTCAGGCATATAATACATTCCATATCACGTCTGGTGCGTTGTGTCTTGAGGTCGCATTTAAAAATAAATCAGGCTTGTTTTAAATTAGGCAAACAATACATCCATCACTGTTCGGTATTTTGGCTTGGGCTCTTGTGGTGCCATGGCTAATATCTAGGTTTGTGGAGCCTAAATTAAAACACACTTGTCTCTTTTATGTTCTTGTCCTGTGTTTCTTGGTGTTTATTGGGAGCCACAGAAGTGTAAGAAAATAGCTCTCTGGCAAGGAAGCAATTGCAATGATCCCATGAAGAATATTTTCTAGATGGGCTCTGGTCTGTTGGGGGGCATCTCAAATGAGGAGGAAGAACTGTATAACATTTTGCCCTGGTTCAAACCATTTATCAAATCAACCTCTCTCTCTATCTCACTTTGTGTGTGTGTGGTTTAAAAATCTTTTCCTACCACAGGGTCATAAAGCTACTGTCCGTGGTGGTTAATTTTCTTTGTCAGCCCAGCTAAGCTATTGTGGTCAGCTGTTGGACCAAACACCAGTCTAGATGTTGCTGTGAAGGTATGTTAGACACGTGATTCGCATTTACAGCAGCAGACTTGGACAAAGCAGATTACCGTTCCGAGTGTATGTGGGCCCCACCCAGTCAGTTGAAGGCCTTGAGAGAAAAGTCTGAGGTCCCCAGAAGAGGAAGGAATTCTGTTTCCAGACTTCCTTCAGACTCAAGACATTAACTTCTTGCTGCAATTTCTAGCCTGTGAGCCCATCCTGCCGATTTAGAACTTTCTACCGCCTGCAATCAGATGAGGAAATTCCTTAAAATCTTTCCCTCTCTCTCCCTCCCTCCCTCCCTCTCTCCATATATATATTCTTACTGGTTCCGTTTCTTTAGAAAACTCTAATACAGATTTCAGACATTCTCCTACATGGTCTTCTGTAAGTTAAGATCGGGATTTCACAACTAACTTTTTAACCCATCTGGAATTGATCTCATAGATAGATTCTTAATTTATTATTTCTTCAATTTCACATGCCTTGAGAAGAAGAGCTAAATGTGTCCATTTACCAGTCCTCTCAGAATGTAAGTTTGTGTATCTCTTTAAAAGCATAAACATTTATCTCTCACTGTAGATATCCTGATTCAACAGGTCTGAGTTGGGGCCTAAGCACATATATGTTATTAATAAAGGCAATTCTGAAGTTCTATACAGAAGAAAATGAAGATGAATATATTTATATCCTTCTGATAGGGAACATCTGTGAATGCTATTAGAGACAAAACCCATTAAGAAAGCAGCTTGAGATATTTGACCATATCAAAGATTTTTAAACTGTGTAAAATTATCAGTTCTAAGATGAATAAGTTCTAAGGCTCTAATGTATAACATTGTGACTATAGTTGATAATACTGCATTATATAATTATAATTTGCTGAGAGTAGAACTTAAGTGTTCTCACCAAAAAAAAAAAAAAAAAGTAAATATGTGGGGGTGATGAGTGTGTTAATTTACTCGATGGGGGAGAATCTTTCCACAGTGTACATGGTACCAAATCATCATGGTGTGCACTTTAGATATATGACAATTTTATTTGTCAATTAGACCTCAAACTGAAAAAAACAATTCATACAGAAAAGTGCATCTGTAAGATTTTCAAACTCTTATACAGTAAGCGATGCCATAAGGAAAGTTCGAAGTAGAAGGACAAAGTTGGGAAAATGTACAAGATGTATTAAAACAGTGACTATCCATATGTAAAGAGCTCTTATGAGTAAATATTGCAGGAGCAAGAGAATAGGTTCAGAATGATTAAGAACATCCGTCAGCTAGCTGTCTGGATTTGATGGTTGGCCCCAGCACTTACAAACACTATCCTGGTGGGCACTTACTGAATCTCTGATTCTATTTTCATGTTTCTAAAATGGGAATCAGAATAACTCTATATGGTCACGGTGAATATTAAAATAGGTAAGGCCTATTAAGAGCTTAGCGTAGCGACACACTGTAAGGCATCAATAAATACTAGCTTTTTAATGAAAAAAAAATAATGCCCCCTACCCTCAAAATGGGCAGAGGCCATAAACAAGCAAGTCATCAAAAGCAACAATAACAACACAACAGAAGAGGTGATGAAACCTAAAAAATGCCCTCACTTATGGTTAGAAAGATACAAAATAAAAGATAATATTTTTGTTGTTATCATGGATCCAACTCGCAAAGATTTAAAAAATAGACACCCACTCCTGTTGGGGAGGGTGATGGAAAACAGATCGCATACATTCCTCCGAGGCTGGGATCCCTTGTCCAGGGAAATAAGATATCCCACCACCACCACCACTTTTGAGAACCACTCACTGACCCAGCTGCCAGCCCTCTCTCCTGTCACCTGGACCTCTGAGTCCAGCAATGTAAGAGTTACCTTGAGGACTGTGCTCTACGCAGAGGTCAATATCCATTCTGTTGCGGAGTATTTTGAATATCATCTCTGGATAGTATCAAGATAGTATCAATATGTCAGAGGTTGAAACATGTTCACCGAGGAACTAATTAGAAAAATGAATAGAAGTCCACATATTGAGAAGTTCATTGCAAAATTGGAAACACCCTATAAGTCCTACAAGACACTTTGTTTAAATTTGTCATGGTAAATCCATACAATGTAATATTATGCCCGTCTTAAAATGAGGACACTAAAATGTCCCAGGATGTAATTAATGGGGAAAAAACACAAGGTACAAACATCATGTTTAATATCATCACTTAAAAAAATATACAGAAATCATTAAAAAATACCACTTTTGTTTGGGTGTATATTTTTTCATGTAAAAACATATGTGTGTATGTATACATATATACACACATACACACATATGTATTTACATATATGTAATTTTTAAAAAGATTTATTTGACAGAGAGAGAGAGCGCAGGAGGAGGCTGAGAGAGGGGGAGAGAGAGAATCCCAAGCAGACACCCTGCTGAGCACGGATCCCATGCGGGGCTCGATCCCACAACTCTGAGCTCATGACCTGAGCTGAAATCGAGAGTTGGACTCTCAACTGACTGAGCCACCCAAGCACCCCTCTATGTACATAATTTTTAACAGTATTTATCTGTGCTAAACTGCAAAATCTCAGCACAAATTATTCCCATCTCTATTTCTGCACCTTTGCATTATGGCTTTGGCTCACCTCAGATTAAAAGGTGCAATCTGTCTCTCGACCACTTAAATCTGTGCTTAGCCATGTAACTGGTTTGGCCAATGGGACATGTGCAGATGTGGTACCCACAGAGGCAGAAAAATGTTTGGGTTTTGGGGCTTTGCCTCCTGTTGCTGCACTTGGAAAACTGAGACCACCATGTGAAGAAGGGAAGAGCCTGTTCTCCAGCAAGGGAACAGCCTGCTAGAAAGGTCATGTGGGGGAAAACCGAGGTGTCCTGGTCAACATCCTGTCAACTATTAGTTGTGATTAAGGTCTTGCTCAGCCACGCAGTCCAGCCAAAAATCCAGAAGACTGCAGAGATCCACGGAAGCCAACCCAGAATGATGAAGTCGTGATCACTGCTTCCAGCCACTAAGTTCTGGATTGTTCGATATGTTACTTCAGGCCAGTCAAATTTGGATACTTAAAATTTGAAGGCAATTTTGTATAACTCTGCATTTTCTAAACATTCACAAAGAACATGCATTACTTTTTAAATTCAAATTCAATTAGTCAACATTAGTCAACATCATTAGTTTCAGATGAACACACATTACTTTTTATTAAATCAGAAAAAAATTGCTTTTTCTATTAAAAAATTTTTAAATTACTTAAAACATTTTTAATTAAAAAAACTGAAAACCTCTACCGGATTCAAGCTGTTTGGCAGAATAACAATATCAATAACTAACAACTGAATAGCACTTACTATGTACCAGACACTGTGTTTTTACATACATTATCTTAATCTCCATAATAATTCAATTGCGAAGAACACTATCATCATTCTCTTTTTCCATTTGAGGAAGTGAAGGCCGAGAAAGGATTAATGACTTATCCAAGGTCACACAGCTACTAACATGGCAGCTCTGAGCTTGATCCCAAGCAGTCTGTTTCCTGAGTCTATGCTCTTAACTGACCTCAGACAGAGACAAAACCATACGTAAATGTAAAAGGTCATTTCTCAAGGATTTGGTATCTGAAAGTTAGAGCTGTGAGATATCCAGGATCTCTCTGGTCTCTCTTGGGTTCCCTAAGTTCATATGACTTCATCAAGTAAATCAATTTCAGGGTGGACACAGCGGAGATGGGTTAGGACTCAAATCATTCCATTTTGCTGCTTATTATCAACTCTTACAGAGATCCGTTGAGAGAGGTGGAGGGTGTTAAACTCCTAACTAAAAGCAGGTTTGTCAATTGACAAAGTTCTTTTAATTTATGCTTTCCCTCCCCACCAAGGCTAGAGAGCTATTTATAAGCTTGTTTATCCCACGTTCTATTGTGCAAGAGGCATTTTTATGCTACACTTCCAGCACAGCTCTGCCCACACTACAAACAGTGAGCACTCAACGAAAGTATAGATGACGATGATGGTGGTGCCCAGACATACCCAGGTGTGGCAGGGCTGAGTACTTAA